CTAAATCTCAGTAAGAACAGGGTACTCTCTCCTCCTTGCTCACAACATCCATGAGAAGGAAGCTTCCCTCCAGGTGGATGAAACCAAGAACAAGGGCTTCCTCTCCCCCAGCTCACACCCAGGGCTACACTAACTCTCCAAGAGGGCAGCTGCCAGTATTTCTCACCTCCCAGCTCCATGCTACAGAAACTCTTTTCCAGGTAAGGGTGGTTGAGAGTTCTGGGGCTCTCATCCTCCAATAGCACCCACTCGCAGGTGGGCCGGCCAAACAGACTGGGCCTGAACAGCCTTGTCCCAGCTTGCTTTGTGGGAAAGAAGCTCACAAAAGGAGAGGGGGTGGGGTATAGCTCAGTGGCAGAGCACTTTTCTAGGTCTTTCGTTCAATCCCAGCCCTGCAGGGTGTGGGGGGCTGGTGGAAAGGAACTAAGGGCAATGTTAGAAACAATGCAGATTTGAGTCGTAAGGAACTAAGAGAAGTCTGGTAGCTCCACAAGAACAACAAATTAAATCACAGACCAGCCAGAGTTCTGACAGAGAGGAACAGGGAAGGAGAAAGCTAGTAAGCAGAGCCCCCGTGTGGCAGGAACAAGTCTTAAAGACTGGCCTTGCCAACATATGGGCCTGAATTTAAATGCTATCGGAATATGTGGGGCAATTTAGGGCCCAGATTATTGTGGCAGACAAAAAGCAATCACTCAGAAATTGGTGAAGTCTAGAAGCTGGGCAAGATATCAAAAAAGGTGGGTAGCTTAACAGAGAGAAAGAGGCATTCAAAGGGAACCCCACTAAAATCAAGGTCACTCCAGGGTGACTGCGTGCCCAGAGCTGTGCCTGAGAAGCATGATCAGAGGTTTGACACTGTCGGTGAACAGGCCTGGAAATAGTCCGGCCCAATCACTAAACAAATAAGCAAACAACAATGACAAGCCCTTGGGGGATAGAATCAGTATGGAGAGTTGCTACAAAGTGTTTTCTGAAATACACAGTTTTCGGTAAAAATTATGAGACATTAAAAAATACACACAGGAAAATGTAACCTGTACTATGTGTTGGGAAGAGGGCAACAGAAACTGTCTTTGAAGAGGCCCCTATGGTAAGCTGACCAGATGTCAAAGCAGTTATTAAAATGTTCAAAGAACTAAAAGAAGTCATGCTTGAAGTAATGGAAGGTATGACAGTATCCCAGCAAATAGAGAACATCAAGAAAGACAGAGAAATTTAAAAAAGAACCAAATAGAGATTCTGGAGTTGAAAAGTACAATAACTGAAACAAAAATTACTAAAGATTTAACAGTATTTGGGCTGCACAGAGACTACTGAAGGCAGAGCCACAGAAATTATGCAATCCGAGGGAGGCAAAAAGAATAAAGAAAAATGAACAAGGCCTCACAGGAATGTTGGACACCATTATGCACATCAATGTCTGCATAATAAAAGGATCAGAAGGACAGGAAAGAGAAGAATAGAAAACAATTTTGAAGAAATGACTAAAAATTTCTCCAGTTTGATGGGCAACATTATTTACACATCTAAGAAGTTCAATGGACTCTAAATAGGACAAACACAAAGATCCACACCCTAAATATACTAAGACTTTAAAAAAATAAAGACAAAAAAAATTCTTGAAAGCAGCAAAAGAAAAATGATTTACTAGGGAATTCCAGTTAACTTGAACAGCTGACTTCTCAACAGAAACAGGTAATTAGTTCTGGCCAAAATATTGTAAAGAGAAGTGTGACATCGCTGGGCTGCAGCACCTAACTGGCAAATCCCAGGACACTTTTTCTTCTGGTCAAGTGAACAATAGCATTCACAATGGTGGCTGTTCCAACAGCCTGGATTTCATACTCACATATGTACAAACTCTCAGACCTACTAATTCCACTTCTGACAATTTATTCTATAGGATTACTAGAACCCATATGAACATGGATAAAATGTCACATGTCCAAGATAATTCCCTGTAACGGTGTTTATTAAAACAACTCAGGATGAGCAAAAATTGCGTATTTTTTCATTTATTTTTATAAGATAATATAACAGGAAATATAAAAGTGACAATTTCATCAAATTTATTCAATACAAGAATCAACTGGTTGAGGCCGAGAATTTAGCTCAGTGGCACCAAGCTTGCCTTGCAAGTGAAAGGTCCTGAGTTCGATCCCCAGTACCGAGAAAGAAAAAAAAAATCAACTGGTTGAAATGACACCTGTCCGAGTGACACTTGGTTTTGTGGGGGGTTTTTTTGAGACAAGGTCTGGCTATTAATTCACGCTAGCCTTGAACTCACTTTATAGCCCAGGCTGGCCTGGAACTCACGGCAATCAATCCTCCTGCCTCAGCCTCCCGAGTGCTGGGATTACACTTGGGATAGTCGGTATGTAAACAAATGCACTAATCGAGTGATGCTGGGATAAACTGTAAAGTGGTTAACCTGGGCAGTAGCTTTATCAGTATTAACTATGTGATTTTTTTTTCTGCACATACTTTTGCTTTTCTCTACAGGCATAGCCTATTTCATAGTTTTGACAAATTACAAAAAAGACCCCAAGCCCTAGGCCCCTGCCCCACCTCTACCCTTACAACATTCATTTGTGATACATGCATGAAGCCAGGAAGTGGGGACAGCAGGTGTTCAGCCTAGCTTATCAGGGAGTTTTTAAGAAAATGTTTTATACCAGAAAGAGGGAAGATGAAAGAGTGATTTGGGGGGAAGAGCAAGTGAGGCCGCCAGGCATGGTGGTGCATGCCTATGAGCACTGGTGAGGTTGAGACAGGAGGATTGTTGTGAGTTCAAGGACAGCCTGAACTGCACAGTGAGACCCTGGCTCAAAAAAAAATAAAAGAGCAAGTGAGGAGGTGCTTTTGGAAAAGTACCTGGATGGACAGGAGTAACTGTCTCTAAGACTGTAGGCCCACATAGTACCCAAGACTATAAAGTTCTTTTTAAAATACGTCAGTCTACTCAGCACACAGTGTGGCATTTCCATGGGTTGCAAAAAAAGGGAACCCCATCAGGTACGTGGGGCCTGAGACTATGAGCCCCCTGACATCCCAGGGCAAAGATGCTGCCCAGAACACAGAAGGTCTTTAAGCTTGTGGCTTGCAGGTGTGCACTGATTCGCAACAGCCAGGCTCACCCAGAGGTGTCTGAACAAAGACCCTGCTCACATGCGGGGACTCACTGGGCCCCTCGTGACCAGGAAAACAAGGTTTCCCAGGGAACATCAACTCTTACACACGGCGGAACTCAACCACTTAGTGGTGAGATGGAAGGAGATGCTGACCAGACTGTTAACTTTGACTCGAAACAGAAAGAAAAACTTGCACTCTATATTACTCATGCTACATATGGGAGCTGGGGCAGGGGACACCTTAAAACCACAGCCTCTGCCTCAGTCAACCCAAAACAGCCTTGACAACATTCTCAGGGATGAAACATCTACCTTCCTCATTCAAAATTCAATGTGCTTGTTATTCTTATAAATATGCCTTTCCAGTCACTCAGATGTTTTCATGGCCCCAGACCCTCACACTTTTAAGGCAGAGAAAACCACGGTCCCTCAAGAGTGGTTCACCAAAGTTTCTCCCCAAATGTGCAAAGCCCCCAGCTACACAGCCTTGGCCTGTGTGCTGAAGCGGACCCCCAGCCTCACCCGACGCCCACCTTCCTCACAGTCTCCAGCTCTTGCTGCTTGTTTTCGTTGGCGGCCTGCAGCTCCTTCATCTGCCGCTCCAGCTCCTCCTGCTCTGCCAGCAGCTTCTTCCGGAGCTCTTTCCGGCGCTGGCGGGCTTCTTTGTGTGGTGGAGGACTGCCCAGCCTCAACAGATGGACGGTGGAATGAATGGCTGTGCACGGCCGAGGAAAAATGGGAAACACACACTATTCTTTGCATGCATACCATGCAAATGACACAGAAGTAGGAAATCCAGACAGTGAGAAGTCCCAGCGTGACTCAGATTTTGCTAGCGAGCAGCGGTTTGACCCTGGCCAAGTATGTTTCCTCTTCTCCAAAATCAGAGTCTTTAAATTTAAAGTCTCTTCCAACTCCCAAATTCCTTAACTGAATATCTGCACTTACAAAGATGCTTAATTTGTAGTACACACATTTAAAGAATTTTATGACAACACTTTCAACTCCCTTGTCCATGTATCTCAAAAAGCTCAGCCTCCCAGAATGCTGGGATTACGGGGCAGCACCACCACACTTGGTTAATATGTACATATTCTACATGCATGTCCTTTGATGCATTATCTAATTTTTATATAAACTCTGACATTTTTCCTGGAATCTGTAATTACTGTACTTAAATTTAATTTCTTGGATGACTAACATACATTGTTCAAATTAAAAAACAAAAAGATATTCAAGAAAAGTCTCTTGCCAGCTCTTCTACCCCAGGTACTGGGTTTCCTGTCCCTTTAGTAACCTATGGCATCAGTTTCTTCTACATCTTTCCTAAGATAATTTTAAGCAAATGACTATACATGTATATTTTTTCTCTACTTTATTTTGACACAAATGATGGCACCGCCCACTCTTCTGAGCCTGTTTTTTCCCTTAATTTATCTTGAAAGGTATCTATATCAGTACATAAAGTACTATACTTGAGCACTGTATAGTAGCTACACCAATGTATACCATACTTTATTCCGTTATCTCCCAATTAATGGACATGTAAATTGTCTGTATCATCACAAAAATTTCTGCAACAATGTTATTTTGAAGATATGCAAGTACATCTGTCATTATTTAATTTTTAACCCTCACAGCAGCCCTGAATGGTAGGGACTGTTACTAACCTCATTCCCTTAAAAGAAGAAAGAAGCAATAGCTCAAACCAAATGACCCAGGAAAGAATAAACCCAGGCAAACTCACCTAAATCTCTCTTTTGTTTTTTCCAGTACCAGGGATCGAACTCAGGACCTTGCACTTGTAAAGCAGGCACGGCACCACTGAGCTAAACTCCAGCCCTTTGCCTAAATCTCTTAAACCATATCAAAACAACCATAATTTCAACAGAGCATAATTCTATCTATGTGCAAGAATACAATACTCAGAATCCCCTTCAGGATCACACCAAAGTCACATACGTACCTGGGTGGTGACACACACCTGTAATCCCCTGCACACACAACCAGAGTCCCAGACCCCCTCTCTCCTTGTCTCTCTCATATACAGTTCTTTATTAACTTTGGAATGAAGTAATACTTTGGTTTAAAAGTTATTCATTCAAAAGTTTGTGTTTTTAAAATTATGATTTGGGTTATTTTGCAGTATTAGGGATTGAACCCAGGGGCTCATGAATGCTAGGCAAGCATTCCACCACTACGCTACATCCCCAGTCCTTTCTGTTTATTTTATTTTGAGACGAGGTCTTGCTAAGTTCTCCAGGCTGGCCTCAAACTTGCAATCTTCCCGCCGCAGCACAATGAGTAGTGAGGATTGTAGGTGTGTGCCACTCTGCTTTTTTGAAATTACTGATTTAAAACTACTGCATAATTCCTCTTTTATTTTACATAAAACCAAAAACTCAACGTTTAACATTTTAAGAATATCATCTTAGCATTCTTCATAGTCCTTAAAAGGGAAAGTCCATACTTTTAAATTAGTAGCAGGCCAGGGATTTACCCCAGTGGTGCCACCTGCCTCCCAAGTACAAGGTCCTGAGTCTGTTTGATCCCCAGTACCAACAACAACAACAACAAAACCAAAAATAAAATAGTAGCAGTAAATAAAACCTAAAATCTCCCATTTATAATTTTCTCACAAGTCTATTATACAAATTAATTGAGGAAAAATTTGAGAATTCAGACAGACATACTGGTGCACACCTGTAATCCCAGCACTCTGGGAGGCTGCGGCAGGAGCATTGCAAGTTTGACCCCACCCTGGACAACTTAGCAACTTAGTGACACCCTATGTCAAAATTTTTAAAAATGAAAAAAGGGCTAGGGTTGTATCTCAGCCCAAAGGTCCTGAGTTCAATCCCTAGTACTGAAAAAAAATTGAGAAATTTTAGCATCTTTCATGAGGTTCAAATCTAGAACATCAGTGCTCTCGAGTTTTATCATGCAAATAATAAAAATGGCCTTACCCTGAATCCATTCTTGTTTCTTCTTCTTATCTGAAGCACTAATTTCAAAGGTCTTATCAAAACATTTTATTAGAAAAAGGCATTTCTTTCCATCTTTGTCAGGCAGAGACTAAACAGAAAGCATAATTAGTTCTTCAAAATTTTATTCTTAAGCATCTAAATTAAATTCAATCTTGGGCCAGGGTTCTGCCACCTGCTTTGCCAAGCGCAAGATCCAGAGTTCAATCCCCAGTACCAAAAAAAAAATCAATCTTACTTATTTATACAAATCTGACTGAAACTCGGTGTTGGTGACAAATAACCTATAAATACAAATTACTGATCTACTACTGCTGTTTCCCAGGCAGCATTACCGACAAGTGACACTGACCCCTCACTGGTTTGCCACATTTGCACTGGAGAACTACAAACACCTGATGGAGCACAGGGTGCCATCCTTTGGGCTTTCCTGAGTACAGCAATTTTTGTAGCTGCCTACATCCCCTGCAGGAGCCCTAGAAGTTACACCCATGGCATTGATCTCTGTGGCATGCAAAGCTTCCAAGCAGTGGTGACCCCTAGCCTGGCTACCTCAGTCTCTGCTCCTTGCACCAGCAGCACTGCTGCTGGCGCCTGTCCCATGTCCCTATGAGTACAATGGTACAGCCTATGGTACTTTGGTTGAATCTAAGCAGAACCCTGTTGTGAGTATTGCATACCCCAAAACATGTGTCTATACCATTTCAATCATCAAAATGCACCATAGTTTGAGCAACAACACAGGTATTTTAAATGTTCTTCAACAAATACAGACATAGTGGGGTTTCATATACAAATGAGAAACTTGAAAACTCAAAAAAAACTGATGTTCTTGAGGACTTCACTTCTCTACAGAATTAGTGGCCATGAATAAAGTATCCTGAAAGTCACTCAGGGTATTCAAATATAACACTCAATCTTCTTTTATTTATTGAACTTAAAAGGCCCCAGATATTTTAGTATATTCATGATTTCAAACACTGTCTTACTGAACATTTTTTGCTTTATTTTCTCTTTGATGACTCCATTTTACTCAATAAATGATTCCTAAAATGTCCAAATAAACTAGAACTAATCCCTACACCAATATAAGATAGAAAACAAATTCATTTTAGAAAAAAATTGTCCTTTATCTTTAATTTTCAGTTCAGAAATGTGAATTTGGGGATTCTTTGAAGGGCCCAGAAGGTGGAAGAGGAGAAGCGGCTTCAGCAGCAGGGGGCAGCACCAGCTAAGCACACTAAGGGGGAACGGGCGCCTTACCTCCACACAGCAGTTCCCGTCCAAGACAATGTCCCCTTTCCTGTCTTTCAGATCCTCACTCACATAGTAAGAAATTACGTTGGGCTTTAGGACAAACCAGCGTTCAGTCCAGTTTTTCCGTCGATGGCCTTTTTTCATCATATAACCCTATGAAACATTAAATCTGAGTCAATGTTTGTCTTTCATTGTAAGAGTTAACATTTCTTTCCTGTAGATCTCCACTGCTGGTCTCCTTCATTATGTGTCCTGAATACGTGAATGTCATCAGCTCATGCTCTTCATGATCATGAACCCTTCCAGAATTTATGAAGGCCAGGGGCATTACACCCAATCAAATTCATGCAAGCACATTCAGATCAAAGTTTGCAGATAAAAGAACCCTTGAATTCAAGAGTCCTTATCTTTTTGAGATATATACTGAAATATTTACAGATAAAATAAAATGGCTGGGATTTGCTTCAAAATAAAACAGGAGAAGCACAAAAGCAGGCGGAGTAGGATTAGCCATGGATTGGTGGTAACTGGAGCTGGGAGACAGCTATACAGAAGTTCACTGCACTACCGTATTTCATTTTTTGAAAAGACACCTATCGGTGATTACTGGTAAATTAAAACCTTTAATTTAGTATATTAAATCAATGAAAATATTGGTCAAGTCTACATTCTTCACCAGTCACTAGGATTTCACCTTCTGGTACCTTTCCACCTGAGCTCTTACTTTTCTAGACATGAATTCTCCTCGCAGAAAGGGACTGGACCAAGAGTTAGAAAACTGGCTTCTAAGGTCACTCTCCACAACTTCCACCTCCTTCCCACATATCAGCCTCAAAGATGTAGAATTCAAAGTTCACTTTAACAAAATTACATAGTATTATAAAGTCCTTCAAAGTGTACAAAAACAGTTAACTCTTCAGGCGCTGATAGCATATGGGAGACTATACACATCATTCTATGTATGATATATATATATACATATATATGTATATATATATATCAGATATTATGCTGAGTACTTAGAAAACAAAGGTAATAGTTTAATAAGACAAATGCTACTTTTGTACATGGAAGTATCTTTTCCTAAAAGTAAGAGTATTTTTCCAATTGTACAAAAATAATATAAAAGGCCAGGTGAGGTGGTGCACAAATGCAATCTCAGCACTTGGTAGTACTCAGCAGGAAGATAACAAGTTCAAAGCCAGCCTGGGCTACATAGTCTGAGGCCAGCCTGGACTACATAGAAAGATCCTGTCTCAAAAACACCCCCAAAAAGAGTATATATATTGTATTTGTGTACCTCATGTAGAAAGTCTAATAATATAAAAAAGGAATAAAAAAAGAAAACAGAATTAATCAAAATCCCACAGTTCAGAGGCCATCACTGTGAGTGAGCACTTGAGAGTGCCCTTCTAGATGGCTTTACACAGACATCCTGCTACGTGAAAGAGATACAAGTAGCTACTGGTTCTGCAAGCAGTCATTTTCACTGACAGCATGCCATCAGTGTCTTTCTAGATTAATGAGTATGGATATATAATGACATGAATATATAATGAATATAAAATAAGCATGAATACATCTTAAAAATGGTTTGGAGGGGCTGGGGATTTAGCCCAGTGGTTCAGCTGCCTGCCTCACAAGCACAAGGTCCCAAGTTCAATCCCCAGTACCAAAAAAAAAAAAATATATAGCAACACCTCAGTTCTTAACTGTACTTCAAAACTATACCAGTAATACTTTAAAAGGAAGGAAAGGAAAAGG